CGTATTCGGGAACACTCTCATTTGGCTTTCTAGTACGAGTGTGAAACTTATAACGCTCTACTGTGACTGAGCAAGTAGGTTCATAGTGATTCTTTAATGCACTTACCAGGTCGTTGTACGACTTGTCTGTAGGTTTAGCGGGCGAAACCAGGTTTCTCAGTAGATTGTAGGTTCCCTGGCCTATAACACTAAGTAGTATTGCTCTCCGTTTGTCTGCTCTTCGTTTCACAGCGTTAGCATTTGAGCCATCTTCAGCGGGTGGAATTTCGTCCAAGTCGTTAGCAGCGAAATAAATTTCCAATCTTTCTACGTACAGCTCCCAATTATCTTTCTTTCCTGTAAAACTTTCCATTTTGCCATAATGCGCCATCCTCGTCGCCAATTGTAGTGTATCAAGTCAGAACACAGAGCGGATTCATAGAGCCTTGCATTTATTCCTGAGTTTACATCCAACTCACTCTTGCACAATTTCACACAACATTTATACTAGAATAATTAATTACACGGAGGTATGTATTCCCTAGTGGATACATAGCATAGCCCAAGCTAGGCATTTGTGTCCTTTTTAGAAATATTTAAATATAACAAAAATAAACATCTCTACCTGTGTATTGTGTTTTTCTTTACATTTCTGTGAAGTTTCAGGCGATTTCCTTCAATTTTGAGCGATTTATGCCTGTTGTTCTCCAGCGTGAACGGTTCGCTACAATATCTACAATATCTACATATCTACATATCATATTTCCATTATCAATAAGAGGTAGCTAGCGAAAAACCGCTTGAGAATTGTTAAATACCTGTAATACGACCAATCTTTTCTTTTTGTAACCTTTTCCCAGCATACCCTGCGACCTGTGCCCCCAAACTGAAACCTATCACGTGGAACGAATCTAGTTTTGGAGTATTTCTGGCTTGTGCTTTGAGAAACCTGACACATTGTGATAAGGTTGTAACCTTAACGTGCTGGATATTAAACAGTGCTCTAGGCAAATATAATCTTTTTTCAATGAACTCTTTCGTTCCACATTTTCCCCTGTTCTTTAGTCAAACTCTTCCGAAACTCTTTTTAACCAACAACAATACGAGCACCAATACGTACATATTGGTAGAAGCGTTTTTTGCGGATATTTTCTACAAAATATTAGGTATTGTCTTATCATTGTGACGAGACGTTCATAACTCGTGTTCTAAATTAAAGTTTACAAGTTAATTCATTAGCATTATTCTCTAGAATCCACAAAAATCGCCGCAAAAATCACCAGTGCAAATAACGGATACACTTGCGATTTTGCAGCCGCGATTATCTATCGCGCACCTAAAATCGTACGTGTAAACAGCCCTGTGATTGTTGCGGCGATGGAAAATCGCCGCGAAGTTTCAGCTAAATTTCAAGCATGTTCGAAACTCATGCGATAGTCGCGGGACAATCACGCTGCAAAAATCGCAATTGGCCTTTAGGTGTATGTACCATTCCAACTAAACGTGTATTGCCAATGGCTTATGGTAAGGGGTAGAGTGCTCCAAATTTCCAGCTTTCTATAATGACATTGGCATCTTCTTTTTCGAGTAAAGCATCTTTCATTTGTATAGGCCAAGTCTTTGGTTTTGTCAGAGGATTCATTGGATTTTCTGGAAATAGAAATTAAAAATCCCTTCGATGTGTGATTAAATTTGCTTGGTTTGTTTCTGCGATGTTGTCTCACCTCCCCAACCGTGAATTATCAGAATCGTTTTCTTTGTACCATCGTAGTTGGAATACTTTAGTTTTATTGGCATCATTGTCGTTAAGGTCTTCTTCTTTCTGAAGGTTTTTCTTCGTGTACAAAAAATATTCTGTTCCCATATTTTCTATCGTTTCAGGTAAAGGTCGATCGACCAGCCCCCTGGAAGGTCCATTTATTGTCAATAAACGTCGCTTGTTCAGGAACGTTCGTATTGAATGGTGGGTCATCGCTGAAATCGCCGTACTTTCCACGATGAACTTTCTTTGCAGCAGCTGTGAATAAGGTATTTGATTAAAACATGATCAGTATTCTTAAAGGTTATATACCATATACAATATATCATTACTACTCGTTGGAAGAACATATTATAATGAGTAAGATCTGAAAGTTTTATTGCTCATACATTTAAGGACCAGAAATTACAGGTGTTTGAAACTGGAAACGTTTGAGTGGCCTTACCAGTCTCGTCATTCACGTTTTTCGCATGCTTCAAATGCTCGTAGCTCTGCCGATTTTCAACATTGGAAAATAAAACTATTCCTCCAGTTTATTAGTTTAGATATACTCTTTCTAATAGAGTTTAAAAAGATTTTTAAAAATCTCGATCGTTTAAGATTCTCATTCCCAGTCTTCTGCTCGTTTTTCATATGATGAATACAAAATAAAAGAGTAGGCAACTCGAGAGAAAAATAGACGAGTAAAGTTTATCTAGAGATAAACTACTGAATAACTTGCTTGATTTAAAACATTTTAATGTTTAAAATGCGTAAAGAGTGGACGATTGGATGTCACGTGACTGAAAGTTCAATTATCTTAAACTATTAGGATATTGGTGCTAAGATTTTGATAAAAATGGGATATGTAAAATTTATTTTGCTATTGTGTTTATGATGACGGCTGTGACTATCACTGGAAAAAAATCGCGCGCTTTAATGTAAAGCCTTGTAAATTTGATGCAAATATGATGTAAGTGTCCAAAATTCTGTATAATGATTTAATTGGAATCATTTTCATCAAATTTACAGGATTTTGGACACTTACATCAAATTTACATCAAATTTACAACCTTTAAAGCGCGCGATTTTCAGTTTTCCAGTGTATAGCGCTAATACACCACAAAGCAACGTCTTTAGGCAACAATATGAGGACTGAATGTGCTGAATACACCTTGATTAACGTTGCCGGGTCTCTACCGAACTCTCGAACTCGACCATGTTTTTCAATGAAGTGTATACAATTTGGTAAAAAAATGTTCTTAAATCACGATACATTGGTTTTAGCAAGGCGAGAGTATGGCGTTAAGTGTGCATAACACTGACAGGGACAAGAGCATCGGGCATTCGGCAAATGCAACACCGCAAAAAAGGTAGGGTTAATACTGAAGTACTATTGGAATTGACAAGGGCAGAAACATGATGCCACCAGGCTCCTTATATTATAACAAAGTAATTTATTACCAATGAGTTGCAGCAGAACAAAAGAAGCACGAAGAAAGGTCTGCATTTCTGAAAAAAAAAAACATAAAACATTCATTTAGGCTACCTTTTTACAAAAAAAACGTTCACGGCAAGTGACTGGCGTTGCCTGCGTTGACAACATACTTTCTTGCTCAAAAGCTTTCCAAAATGAAAGAACAGCACAAAAGAACTATTTATATGACAAAAACCCCTAAAATTTATGTTCCCCGATTTGAGGCTATACCGTACCCTGAAAACGCTACGTACCGGAATACGAATGTTTGTGGAAAAAAATATTGAAGCCGATATATAGCCGGCTATATTCACAAAAGCCGTTAGCGTTACGATTCTTTTGGGAATACAGGCTTATTGTCAAATCGGAAAAGGTTTTTTACCTGAGACTAGTAAGGAATGATGACAACACTTTTGTATGCTTCCTTTTACTTTTAAATAGGTACTAGTMTTAAAGAGAGTTTGTTATCAGATACAATAGTGCAATAACCCTCTCTTTGAACAGCCCGAAAAAAATGCCGATTCCTGCTACTCACGCCATCTATAAACAAAAATTGGCATGCAATGACTGGGCGTCATTTTCAGATGCTACGATTGGTCGTAAAAAGTCTTACCGTGTTTGAAAGTGGAGAATATAAAATAAGTAGCTCTTCTGAGTTGGTTATGGACTTGAAATCTCGATAGCTCGACTCCAATAGCAGTGTGTGAGGTGAATCACTAGTGTTGTATTCAGTGTTATCCCTCTTTCACATTACCTCATTATGATATCAGATATCTGTTACCGCCCATTATTTCATGATTGCTTTGCTTTAAGTGAATATAAAAAACGGGTACAACTGGTTTTTTTATTTCAACTTTTCACTTCTTTTGTCATTTTTACTGATACAAATTGGTTCGTTTAAGAAGATGAATTGATTTCTTTTTCAATATGCTTTATAGAGGACATTACACGAGCGCGCGGTTTTTATCTTCGAGTGTTTAAAGACAACATGAAAACAGATCTCTGCCGACGCCCGTGCCTGTATTATTCAAACTCAACAGCTACGTTCCACTGCCAGTCAATTGCATTCCATTGTGAGTTACATGGCGATTTGGTATTCAAACTCAACCCTGGCCCTAACAATGAAGGAACTTTAGGATCTTTGCGTTCTAACCTAATTAGTGTACAACTCGCCGACCCTATTTCTAAAAATATTAAACATCCACTGAAGTTTTGCTTAATGAACACGCAGTCTCTTCGGAACAAGATCGCCGATTTTACAGACTACGTTGTCTACAATAAGTTCGATTTTGTTGCTGTCACAGAGACTTGGTTAAAGCCAATTGATGACTCAATTAGAAGTCAACTTTGTCCACCTGGTTTCAAACTATATGACAGACCGCGGGAGGGTAAAAGAGGTGGTGGTACTGCTTTGTTACACAGGGACTCACTGAACATTTCCAAGGGAAACTACGGACAGAAAGAGTCATTCGAATTTTCCGAATGGATTGTAAAATCAACTGGCTCCTGTAATGTTCGAGTGATTATCTTATATAGACCTCAGTACTCAGAAGACCACAAAGTTCCTGTAAATGTATTCCTCGACGAATTTGCTCACTACATGGAATCATTAATACTCTCAAGGGAAGATCTACTCATTGTAGGAGATTTTAATCTCCATGTTGAAATGGCTAATGATGTTGATGCAAAGAAATTTCTAGATCTGATCGAATCTCTGGGTCTCCAACAACATGTTGATAAGCCTACTCATANGAAGCTTTTCAGGACTGTATTTCAAGTATTAGGGCCTGGATGTTAGTAGACAAGTTGAAATTAAATGATGACAAAACCGAGATAATTATCATAGGAACACGTGCTCAACTTGAAAAGATTAACATTAAAAATGTACAAGTTGGCGACACTTGCGTTGACGTAGCCAGTTCAGCAGTCCGTAATCTAGGTGCATGGTTTGATTCTTCATTAAGTATGGTAACACATATCAATAAGATTTGTCAATCGGCATATTATCATCTTTATAATATTAGGAAAATTAAGAAATTTCTATCTTACGATCGAACCAAACTTATTGTTCAGTCCGTAATAATGTCACGCATAGATTATTGTAATAGCCTCCTATATGGAGTACCTGAAGTTCATCTAAGAAAACTGCAGCGTGTTCAGAATTCAGCTGCGAGACTTATTAGTAATACATCACGCTATGAACATATAACACCTGTTCTCATCGAGCTTCATTGGCTACCGGTGCGTTACCGCATTACTTATAAAATAGCAGTTATAACCTTTAAGGCTATACATGATTTAAGTCCTTGTTATATCAAGGAACTTGTAAGAACAAAGACGAAAACTAGGTATCAATTAAGATCAGACAGCAGTATCACCTTGCTAGATCCAAGTGTAAAATTTAAAAAAACATTAGGAGATAGATCCTACACAGCAGCAGCACCTAAGGTATGGAATAGCCTACCTGATTATATTAGAAATAATAGTATTTTTTCTAGTTTTAAGTCAGCGCTTAAAACTTTTTTTATTTAAGAAGGCTTATGACTTACAATTATAATTCATAATTACCTATTTAATTTTTTTCACTTTTATAACTTTTATAATTCGATATTATATTATTTTTATATATATGTTAAATATTTGTAGATAGTTTATAATTTTATTATTTGTAATTAGATATGTAATGCGCATTTGATCATATATGTATGTAAAATAGCGCAATATAAATATTAAACATTATTATTATTATTATTATTATATGGGTACTACTAGCTCAGTAATTTGAATTTAGACCAGTTCGTCCTTGGATACTTTGTCAAAGATATACATTGGAAATTGAACGGTCATATGATATTTAGGTGATTGATATCCAATAACCGGTGGTATATATACGCCCATCTCTCTACGATTGTGTGGCTTCAGCAGCAACAAAGCACAGGTATGGCTGGATATCATATTTCAACTTGTTCACAATTCTGTCATTTTCAAGGTTAAAGGTTTTTGTCAAATTGTTGACTTCATGCTATTTAGAACTTCATCCTTTATTCTGGTACTGATAGGGTAAAATTATCAAAGATATAATTGCAAATTGACCGGGAATAAATAGGAACTAGCTAATAATGATATAGCCATCATAATATTTAATATTTCTAAGCAGCCTTTTGTAAATTTCCAGTTGAAACTAATGGCAACAATCAGAATATTGATCTGGTATAGTCATCTAATAAAGACGGACGTCATTCAACCCGTGAAACAAAATTTCACTACTTTAACAAAAATAAAAAGTGTGACAGTCAAATAGACACAAAAGAAAACAATCCAATTGAAACATACTTGAAGGCTTATTTATATATGTTATTTACCGCGGCTGGGAGCTCCGTATACGAAAACACTGCCCGAGGTCTTGACAGTACGAACCAAGTAAACACAGCGGGGTCCGTACATAAAAGACCGAGGGCAGTGTTTTCCTATATGGAGCGACCTATAGCCGCGGTAAATAACATTTTTACTTTGTTCTTTGTATTTTCTGCAACTTTGCTCTCAACCTAGCTTCAGGATACCGTGGACCGGGCAGATCATGAAAAACCGGACAGCGCACTAGCCAATCACAGTGCGCGAATATAACTAGGATACCGGACCGAAAAAAATAAAACGTAATATCTATATTTTAAGATTTTTTTTACTTTGCTTACTGGACGCTTGTCCATCATCAGAGTAAAATATAAAAGATGCAAAATTACAATATAAAGACATAAATTCACAATAATAGATATATAAACAATAAATTATTTAAGCAATATAACTTACACCAAAATCGCATGCGCTCTTGATTTTTTTTAGGTCTTTTTTTCGTGTTCTCCCAACATCCCTGCGTGCTTTATTTCACTGACAAACGCACGACAATCCAGCGAGCGTGCTTTTGCCAGCGAAATATATATATATCACGCTATTGGACCAATCAGAGCGTTCGTACTATTACATCTATATTCACATTATAAAGTTCGTGAATCGAGCGCTAAAAATAAATTTCACAAATATGACACGAAATTAGAATTCTAGAAGCGATTCCTATCTATAGATAGATGTAGCTAACCCTCTGGTCGAGTCGATTGTTTGTAGTTTTTCGTTCGCGCTATAAACGGACTCGACATGTACTTGATGAACGGCGCTTCGCGCCAACAAAAATAAGCGAGAGTGAAAAAAAAATCAAACTTCTGAGATAATGTTTTGAAAACACGAAAAAGTGAAACAAAACTTACTCTACTAATGTACGAACACCACTCAACAAAGCACACGGCATTCTATACGGGGTACCTGGGCCTACATTTTGTGAGTACTATATTTCGTAAGTATTAGATTTCGTAAATTTCGCGATTTATCTAAGATCAAAAAAAACGCGACACTTTATTGTAAGGTATATTGTCCCCGGATATGCGTCACAAGGACCTTTAACCCCTTTCTCTCTCCACATTATCACATTATTGTAGTAAACACAACTCAGGTGATCTATTCACAATACTATTGTATTGTAGAGGCTTTCCTGCCGAGAGACTCGAGTCCGTTGGTTAACAGCGCCCCTTATCAGTCCAGCTGAGGCAGTTCTTTCACCTGTTTGTAATTCCCACTTTAGATGTTTGCATTGCTGTGCAGTAGGATTAGCCTAAGCTGTATTGTTAGGTACTAACGACCACCGTCTAAGTGCTTGGCAACAACCGACAAAGGTTTGTCCAAACCAAAAGCTCGAAATCGATAATAGGGTAAGATATAGATTGTATCATGTTAAGTTTTTCATAAATTTAAAGATATCTTAGCACTACTATACAACAATAACAAAAGTTTGGTTAACGATACTGTCAGACATCAAGGGTAATGATCGTTGAACTCGCATTGAATGGTTAATATTCGGTAACTATATTCGGGGCCTCTGTATATTTCTAGTTTCATCGTGAGCCGAGTCTGCGTCCGAGGATTGGCTCATTCTTGTATATCTCCGAGCTTTGCAAACTAATCTTTTAAAAATATTTTCAAAAGAATGCGTGTCAGTATTCTTTTTTTACTGGGTATCTATTTCCTTCGGAGTTTAATAGGGTCAAGTCGAAGCTCAGAGAGGAGGCGTGCAGCAAACTTAAATTATATAAACATAAATTATATACTTACGTATTTTTATTTAAATTTTTATTTATCTATTTTTATTTTATTTATTTATTTATTTAAGTTTTTGCTTTCGTCTTTTTATTTAAACATTTTTTAAACAAGATTTTATAAATTATGCAAAAAAAGTTATCATTCTGAAAGAACAACGCTTCGTTGTTATATTGATTACCCACGAGTAATTATCGATAATTATGATCTAAATATGGGTGGGACAAAAGAAACAATTAAAATTGTCCGACACCTTTTGTCAAGCTACCATGCACTGCTTCTAATTTTTTCAAACATCAAATTAAGCAATTCTGAGAAGAAAATACATTTTTAAAAGACAGCAGCTTGAGTTGTGCGAAAATGGGCGATACGCCCGAACTGCGTTCTGGGAGATAAATGACGTCATTGACTATTTCTCGTCGCTTTTCAGTTGATAGAAAATAAAGTCAAAAGCGTGCTGTTTTATATGTTTTGTACAGATTCCTAACAA